TTCAACCGAAATTACTTTTAAACTGTAATTTAATAACGAATTAAATTAAACTCTCCGACTTAAATATGAAAAACCCCCCATCATGCGCGCGAGATATTCCCTGTGGCAATGAACGACATCCACAAAATTAAATAACACATTTCATATACTTTTTTCCCCAATATTTTGTATCCAAAAAAGAAGAAAACAGAAATATAAAACTTTATTTAATTTTTATTTTGATCTTAAATATAAAATATCAATATATTTTGTCTATCATATTTATTTTTTTAAGATAGTCTTTCTAATGGTTCTAGCTAATAAAATTGATTAGTAAAAAAATTCAGAAAAAAACAATACTTATTTATAATAATAATTAACTTAATTTTTTAAAATTTACTCAAATTAGTCAGTCATTTGTCAACATGGTTTGCAAACCCCGGGGGAACGACAAGTGTTGACAGCAGAAACAACACTTAAAAGTTATAGATAAGGTTGTAATTGAATTAGTAAAAGATAATGAATTTATTACTTTGTTGACTTAAACGTCATGTTTCAACAATATATGTACAAAACTTGGAAAACACTATATTGTAATTCCGATATCTCAAAATGCAGTGGAGAAATGTCGCTTTCTGAGACCAGGCAGGAAAAAATGATGCCAAATAAAAATCCAGAATAGGACCGCGGGAAACAGAACCCAAATGGGGATGAGTTGCCGTCATGGGTGAAGATATAAAATGAATCAAATAATGAAGTGGGGGATAAGATTGGAACTTGGAAGGCAGAGTCAAATTTGTTGAGACGCTTGTTGTAATAATTTGAAGAATTCGAGAATGGGAATGGCGAGGAAGCACGAAGCTGCCTTCCTTGTGTCTGAATCTGAAAATTCTTTGATTCTGCCTTTGGTGAGCAACCGCCACCTAACTTTCCAATACTGTGGTCTCTTTCCACTATGCCCGTCTCCTCTTCTTTTTTCGTAATACTCTTCTGATTTTAAATATGAAATCTATTTGCTGGTTCTCATATTTAGAATTAAAAAAAATATTATTTTCTGTATTAAATATAAAAACTAATTGAATGTTAAATTTAGTTCTAAATATAAGATTTTATTCATTTTATTTTTAAAATTTATAATATTTTTTAATGAAATCCTTATTAATGGTAAGGAATTTGCACCAAAAGATAATTCTGATATATATAATTAAATAGGATAATTTAAAGAAATTCACACATATTTGTTAAAAAATAATCAACTTAACTAATTTGTTTGCAACCGATCTTGCATTGAATTATTCATATCACCCTCAATATTTGTTGCATCCTTAGACCACGTTACAGTTTTAGTGACACACTGAAAAAAGAAAAAAGAAAAAAGAAGAAGTGTATATTTAATTTGTTGCTTAAACCTTGTCTCAGCTATTCTCCCCATAAAACAGATGTATTACTAGCTTCCCTTTCTATAAACCCTTTCATACTATGATCGGAATTCAACATGCGCTCTAAGTATTTATCAAATTTTATTTTTTTAATACATGTCTGATTAAAAAATTTAACATAATAAATATAAAAAATTTAGTCTAAATGTTATCATTTTTCTTATCACTGAATTTAGACACATTCGGGTGCGTGCTATAAAGTAGAGTATTTTGGCCCGAAAAAAATAGGGTAGAGTATTTTTTTTTTCCCTTAAAAAATTCTTCAACCGAAATTGCTTTCATTTCAAATTTTATTTTTTTCCCCAAATAAAAACTGTAATTTAATAACGAATTAAATTAAATAACACGTTTCACATACTTTGTTTTTCGATAAGATCCATATGTACGCAGAGCTCGTTCCATTTGAAGGCCTCCGTTATGGAATCAAAAAAGGCTGGCCAGCGCACGCTTGGAGTCGTTAGAATCATTATAAAAACTTCATTCTTGGCCTTCTCATTAATATCCTTTTATAAAAACTTCATTACGAAACATCACAGTCTTCAGCTAGCAGCATGCCATGGTTTTTTTGTTTTTGGAATTTAAAAAAAAAAAGTCTAAAACGGGTGGGCGTTATGTTCTTTGATTCCATTACTGAAATAAATTTGCCAATCATCCATGGGTTTGGCAATCAGCAGTAAGAATCACGCCGTCTCACCGAACAAGAAGAAAGTTTGACGAATCGCTGCCTCGATATTACTTTAACAAGAGTCAGATTCAAAAGTCTTTGGATAGGATTAACTCGTTAAAAGTACTTTTTAAAAGGTTTTTTTTTTTTTTAAATCAAGACAAACTTTTCATTTATTTATTTTTTATACCACAAAATTATTTTTAAAATTATATTGTTCCGGTTCATAATATAAAATCTTGTTTGACTTTTATTTTGATCTTAAATATAAGATTCTAATTCATTTTGTTTATCATATTTATGTACTTATTCTCAATATAGTCTTTATAATAATAATAGTTCCGGTCAATAAACTTGATTAGCAAAAATATTTTAGAAAAAATAACACCTATTCATTATAAACAATTAACTTAACTTATTTTTTTAATCTATTTAAATTAGTTAACTAACTCTTATATTAAGACCGAAGTGGTAGTTTTGTTTTTATCCACCATAACCTCCTAGTTTTGGTTTATGTTAAGGCCTGAACACTTAGGTTACATTTGGTATGAAGTATTGAAAATAAGAGATAAGCATTGAGATTGCGATTAAAAACATATGTTAAAAAAATATTTAGCATGAGTGATTTCTTATCACATGAGATTAGACAATCCTATATAGATAGGATTGGAGAATATCACCTCCCCTCATGATATTTTTTAATCCTACATATATAAGTTTGTCTCATCCCAAGTATCATATAATTACTTATACTAAATATTTTTTTAATATAATTTTATATTTTTAATTTTAATCCCTATTTTTTATTTTTAATGTTTTGTAGTAAACAGAAACTAAGTTTTTGTACGAAAAGGCTGCTCACAATCTTTAACTTCACTAGGTGAACGTATGATCACTGAAAATAACAAAGATGAGTGAAATATTTCTGACTGGGACTGATGAAAACTGAAAAGCCCTGCTCACCTAAAAATTAAGCGCCCGTTTGGATTAGCGATTGGAAAAGTAGTTTATGGATAAATGAAGTTGGGTAAAAGCTAAATTGAATAAACTGAATTGTGTTTAGATTGGAGTTTAAAAAAGCTAGTTTGCAAAAGTAAGATTGATAAAAAGTTGTTTGGATTATGATTGAGTAAAAGTAAGTCTGGTTGTAAAATGACCAAAATGAGTATGAGTTTTAATAAATAACGAAACATGATAAAAAAATTTGTATAATATAATGAATTTAAATTAATTTAATATAAAGAAGTGAAATTTAACAGGTGATTTAAAATTTAAAATTTTAAAAATCAAAAAAAATATTTTAAAAATGAAGCTCCTTGGGCGGCAAAGTAATGAGCCTTTACGTTAATCTGAGAGGGGTCATGGGTGATGAAAGCTTGATAAAAAAAAAAAGAAGTAAATAGGGAATAATGATAGAAGTGGGAGAACAACAAAGGAGGAAATTAAAAAAAAAAGGACCCTCTGACAGCAACGAAATTGTGGGAGAGCTGAGGTGAAAAAAACGAAGAAAGTTGAAATGAGAAAATATGGCAGAAGTGAGAGAAAAGAAGCTCTGGCAGAAAATAAGCTCTTCAATAAGCTATAAAATTCAGCTTGAGAGACAACGTACGTTTGCTGGCTTAAATTTCATAAGCTCCTTTTTTTTTAAGCCCAACCAAACAGCATGATTTTTCCAATCTGACTTACACTACAAATAAGCTACTTTTAAACCCCTCAAAAGCCATGCCAAACGGACCCTAACTGGTTGGAAGCATTGTTTTTTTTTGGCTGCATTGTTGATATCTAAGTATCTAACATATTTCAACAGCGTTATTATGAGTCAGGAAGGGAAGTGCAGGCAGCATTGCGTAGACAGCAATAGCATATGGGGGGGGTACTGGTTTGATCCGGACGGGAAGAGGATCAGAGTGGGTCCCATGAAAAAGGACAGCACCCAAGGAAAGAGAGCACACAAAGTGAGCTGAACCAAAATCTGTCCAAAATTTAATTAATGGCAAAATAACAGCTGGGATCAAATAAGAACAACAATTATACTTTACAACTCTAAAATTTTAGCATTTCATTTTGGAGCCTTGCTTCACATCCATCCAATGTTCAAAGAAACTACCCCGTCACCCACACTTCCCTATTAATCCCATTCAAAATCCAATAAAAATTCCATTGGCATTATTTTAATTTAAGTATTCTTCCATATTTATCCTTTAATTTTAAAAAAAAAACATAGTATATGAATTGAGAATCCTTAAAAAAAAAAGAGAGAGCTTCGTTTGAAAAGGTTTCAACTTAGATTTTAGAATTCTCAACTTGTTCCAACCTGTTTATATATCTTGAAAATTGAAACAGATGTGAACAAAATGTGTAGTTAAAAAAGACTCCAACCAAGTTTCTATTATTTTCAACTTGTTGATATAATAATACTACCTCCGGTCCTTAATATAAGACTTTGTTTGACTTTTATTTTGGTCCTAAATATAAGACCCCGATCCATTTTGTCTATCATATTTATGTATTTTTTTTCAAGATAGTCCTTCTAATAATTGTAGTTCTAACCAATATAGTTGATTAGTAAGGATATTTTAGGAAAGACAACACCTATTTATTACAAATAACTAACTTAACTTCTTTCCTTAATCTCCTCAAATTAGTCAACTGGGTCTTATAATTAGGACCGGAAGTAGTATATATTATTTTTAAGTCCTATTTTAATAATATTATTTAAAATTCAATAATGAATACTTTCCAATTGTTAATTAAAAACACTCTTAATTGAACTACAAATTATAATTTGAAGATTGTAAAGCTCTTTTATTCTTTTTCCAGAATAGGAAGGAACATTTTCAAATGACGAATGAAAATGTCGGGGCCTCAAATGGAATTTATGTTTTTAACGGGGTTTTCAAAGGGTGATATTCCCAAAGCAAAGTGATGAGCTCCAGCAAAACCCAGAGAAGTTTGAGGAAGTATCCTAGAAACGCACGTCAGTCATTAGTCGCCCCTCTTTCCATCCCCATTAAAGCTAACAAAAATCATTTTTCTAATTAAAGGCTGCTTCTCTTTGTCGTCTCTGCCTCTTTTCACTCTGTTGCTTTGCTCCATCCAAGCATGGACTTCTGAGTGAAAGAAAGCTTATTATTTCCTTTTACTCTTACCGCACCAAACACAACCATTCCTTATTTGCCTCATTACCTTTCCTTCCCTTTTTTCTTTCTTCATCATGCTTTGTTTCTTATAATCCCTATCCCTTTCCCCTCATATTCCTTGATTCATTGATTCCCGCTTCTCCTTCTAACTAATTCCTATTTACCATGGCTGCCCTTCTTCTCACACTCTCCTCTGTTTTTCTCTTCCTTCTCGTTCCTGTGTTTTCTCAGGTTGACGAGGTTTTCTTCCCCGGATTTAAGGGTGCCGGAACCAACATAACACTGAACGGTATAGCAGAAATCGAGAAAAACGGAATCTTGCAATTGACGAACCAGACGAGTAGACTAAAGGGTCATGCTTTTTATTCGTCTCCATTCCGGTTCAAGAACTCGTCTTCTGGTAAAGCCTTCTCCTTCTCTGCTTCTTTTGCTCTCGTCACTGTCCCTGTGTTCTTCAAGCTCGGTGGCCATGGCTTGGCTTTTACTATAGCAACTTCCAAAAATCTCAACGGCTTACCCAGTCAGTATCTTGGCCTTCTTAATAACTCCGATGGCGGAAATTTCTCCAACCGTTTCTTCGCCGTCGAGTTCGACACCGTCCAGGACTTCGAATTCCACGACAGGAACGACAACCATGTTGGAATAGACTTAAACAGCTTAGTCTCCAACGCATCTGAGACTGCAGCGTATTACCCCGATGATTCAGGTGTAAAGAAGCGAGATCTCAATCTCTCCGGTGGGACGCCGATTATGGCTTGGGTGGATTACGATTCGGCTGCAAATCTCGTGAGTGTTACTCTCTCTCCTTCTTCTACAAAACCCAGAAAGCCACTGTTGACGTTTCCTGTAGATCTCTCGCCGATTTTTGAAGATTATATGTATGTTGGATTCTCTGCTTCCACGGGTCTTCTTGCTAGCTCCCATTACATCTTGGGTTGGAGCTTCAAAATCAATGGTCCAGCACGAGCTCTCGATCTCTCTTCTCTCCCACATCTTCCAGGTCCGAAGAAGCAGCCGACGAAGCTCATCATCGGCGTAACAGTGCCAGTCATACTGATTACGTTATCGGCGATAGTCCTCGGTATTTATTTGTTTAGGAAAATAAAAAACGCCGACATAATAGAAGCGTGGGAGCTAGAAATCGGACCCCATCGATATTCCTACCAAGAGCTCAAGAAAGCGACAAGAGGTTTCAAGGATAAGGAGCTCCTCGGACAAGGTGGGTTTGGTCGAGTGTACAAAGGAATACTCCCGAGTTCGAAAACCGAGGTCGCAGTCAAACGAGTTTCCCACGACTCCAAACAGGGCCTCAGGGAGTTCGTCTCTGAAATCGCCAGCATTGGGCGGCTCCGTCACCGGAATCTCGTTCAGCTTCTGGGTTGGTGTCGCCGGGGAGGCGACCTCCTCCTCGTATATGATTACATGGCTAATGGGAGCTTGGACAAGTACCTATTCGACCGGCGAGAAACTGTTCTCACCTGGGAACAAAGGTTCAACATCATAAAAGGCGTCGCCTCAGCCCTCCTATATCTCCACGAAGGATATGAACAAGTCGTCCTTCACAGAGACGTCAAAGCAAGCAACGTCTTACTAGACGATGAACTCAACGGAAGATTAGGAGATTTCGGTTTGGCTAGATTATACGAACACGGGGCCAACCCGAGCACGACCAGAGTGGTGGGTACATTAGGCTATCTGGCTCCTGAATTACCTCGAACTGGTAGAGCCACAACGAGCTCCGATGTGTTTGCTTTCGGTGCTCTCATGCTCGAAGTGGTTTGCGGAAGAAGACCTATTGAACCGAAGGCTTTGCCAGAAGAGTTAATTCTAGTGGATTGGGTATGGGACAAGTACAAAGAAGGGAGGTTGCTGGACGCTGTGGATCCAAAGCTGAACGGGGAATATGATGAAGCAGAAGTAGTGACGGTGTTGAAACTGGGTTTGATTTGTTCGAATGATGTTCCTGAGGGCAGGCCCAGAATGAAACAATTGGTGATGTATTTGGAAGGAGAAGTGGAATTGCCAGAGAGTTTGAGAAAACCAGGAGGAGGGAATCGAAACCGGGAAGGGTTTGATGAGTTCTTATTCAATTCGTTTGCATCTTCTTCGTTTGGGAAGATGAGTGCTAGTTCTTATACTGAGCATAGAGACACAGATGGTACTCATTTTGCTTCTTTTAACACTAATTCACCTCTTTCTCTCCTCCATGCCAGAGGAGAAACAAGGTGATGATGATTGATGATTGATGAGGGTCTTGTACTGGGATTTCTGGTTTCTTTTTTTTCCAATTTGAATTCGTTTGCTGTAGAGAGACAGTTTTGGTCATGCTACTGATTGGATCAAAGACTCAAAGTTGTAAACAGTGACTCTACTTATTGAATGAAGAATTTTGCTCATTTTTATGTTAGTTTGGAATTACTTATATGTTGGTATAAAATTTGAAGCAAAACTTCTTTTTTATACTTATCTTATACTATCTCGTATCCTAATTATAAGAGTTAGTTGACTAATTTGAAAAAATTAAGAAAAGAAATTAAGTTAGTTATTTGTAATAAATAGGTGGTCTTTTTTAAAATATCTTTGCTAATTAAGTGTGTTGGCTAGAATTATTAGTTAGAAGAATTATCCTGGAAAAAAATGTATAAATATGAGAGATAAAATATATTAGAGTTTTATATCTGAAACAAAATAAAAGTCAAACAAGGTATTATATTAAGAATCGAAGGTAGTACTATATTGTTTAAATTAAGATTAAAAAAAGTTATTTTTGACACCTTTCCAAACAAGCACCAAAGTGATTTTTCATGGAGAAGGTTGTGATAGCACTGCCCCTTATTTTACGTATGATTAACACGAAATAAAAGAGGGACGTGTTATTGAACTTAAAAGGAGTCAAATAGGAACATTTTGGCAATTCAAGGTGGATCTGATCATACGTCACATTAAAACAGAAGAATAACAAACGTGATGATGGAAATTAATGAGAGGTGTGGTCGGCAACGTATGAGGTATGTTTTCCTAAGCATGTCCTCTAGCAATATATGTGCATCTGTCCCTGACCAACTCGTTGGAATTAGGAGAATATTAAAATCATAAAACGAGTCATGTAGTTTTTTATTTTTAATTTTTCATATAAAAATTACTTAATTTTTATTAGTAAGTTCAAAAAAAATTAGATGAATTAATTATTCATAATAAATATAACCTTGTCTTTTTAAAATAACTATATACTCCTCCAGTCCTAATTAGAAGACCCAATTGACTTATTTGAGGAGATTAAGGCAGTAAGTTAAGTTGGTTATTTATAATAAATAAGTGTTGTCATTCCTAAAATATCCTTGCTAATTAAGCATATTGGCTAAAACTATCATTATTAGAAGGATTATCTTGGAAAAAAATGCATAAATATAAGAGACAAAATGGATTGGGGTCTTATAATTAGGACCAAATAAAAAATCAAATGGGGTCTTATAACAAGGACCGAAGGAGTACTATAACATTATATTTTATATCATTTTATAAATTAAATAAATTAGTTTAAAACAATGGTAAGTATGAGAGAAAAATATATTGAAATTTCATATATAAAATTTTTGTATGGAAGCTGCGGGTAACTTAAAGTTGTTTTATAATTAATATCACCCAAAAGTGATTAAAAAAAGCCTAATTGTTTAAAAAACTAATGTTAATATATAATTCTTTTAACAGTCAGGGCGATGTTGCTTTTTTTTTTTAATACTTTCAAAGTGATATTAATTTTCAAAAAAATTAATTTCTGAACAAACTCCAAAATTAAACATTAATCCTCGATTAATGAATTAATGATGAAGGTTGTAATCAAGGAGCAATGTACGTGTGTTGTCTTCACTTCAATTACACGCCACTGGTCCGATGAGTCCCTCCAAACACCTCGTTATCATCGATGTCTCTGCGCACTCCGTTTTCTACGCTGTCTTTATACTTCTCCTGTCCTAATTATAAGACCCAATTAACTTATTTGAGAAGATTAAGGAAGTAAGTTAAGTTGGTTATTTATAATAAATAAATGTTGTTATTCCTAAAATATCCTTGCTAATTAAGTATATTGGCTAAAACTATCATTATTAGAAGGATTATCTTGGAAAAAAATGCATAAATATAAGAGAGAAAATAGATTGGGTCTTATAATTAGGACCAAATAAAAAGTCAAATTGAGTCTTATAATAAAGATCGGAGGAGTATTAACGTATTGTTGAATATTGTTTCCTAAGCCTAAGTTTTGTAGACCCATGTGCCTCATATAATATTATTACGCGTAACTTTCCCTTCCACCCACTCATTTTTAATTATTTTTTTCCCTACTGGCTGACTGGGTGACCATGAAGATTGACTCGCGTGATGCACTGTCATTCTCATTTTGCCTGCTTTTGTCTCTTAACTACATTTTAATTCTACTATCGATCCTACAAATTATAACAACATGAGCTCCCTCGCAAGCCCCAGATGGAACAAGACCGGCTCGTCCCACTGCTTCTGCAACTTTTCACAATTTCTATGAACATGTTCATCATGATCATGCATAATATATATATGTGTGTTTGGAAAAAGATACTATATCCGGTCCTAATTATAAGAGCTAGCTGACTAATTGGAAAAAATTAAGGAAAGAAGTTAAGTTATTTATTTGTAATAAATAGGTGTTGTTTTTCTTAAAATATCCTTGCTAATCAAGTATATTGGCTAGAACTACTATTGTTAGAAGGACTATCTTAAAAAAAATGTATAAATATAAGAGACAAAGTGAATTGAGGTATTATATTTAAGATTAAAATAAAAGTCAAACAAAATCTTATATTAAGGACCGGAGATAGTATAAATACACTCGTTTTTCCTATTAAAAAAATGGTACAATGATTTGAAACAATATTTAACATGAGAAAAGACCATATCATCATTAGCGGAGGAGGGAGAAGAAGAAATTGAGTTGGAAGTGCAGTAATGGGTGGTGATATGATAATGCGATTAGAGAGTTAGTTAATGAGGCAGGCAGGGAGGTCGTTATCATGGAATGTTTTGGTTGAAGTATGATTCCATATATGTATGTATATACGATGGAGTTGTATATTATCAAAGTCAGATATGTATGACCATATATATATTTATATATATATATAGAGAGAGAGAGAGAGAGCTTAGTTTGAAGTCAAAGATGGAATACGAGAGTCTTGTTTGTTGCAGTTTACTTGGGAAAGAAAACAAAGGAAAACACAATGAAAGATATGCGGAAGATCATGACGGGTTGACCCTGTGTAAACCAAACAATGAGATATTGCCTTTCATGCTTCAGTCTCACCTATTTATTTTCCAAGCTGCACGTCTTGGGATAAGACCTGTTTTTTTTTTTTTCTCCTTAAAGAAAACTACTCCCTCCTTCTTTATTATAAGAGACAAATAACTGAAGTACGTTGATAAAAAAAACAGTTAAAATTAGTTAAAAACAATTAATGTGTAAAAAGTATAATTTTTTTCCAAAAATACCCTCATTAATAAGGAGAGAGAATAATTAAATTATTAAAAGAAAGAGAAGTGGGAGGAAGAGAGAGTGTGAGTTGGAGATAATAAATATGGGTAAAATAGTAAATCAACACAAAAAAGTAGAGACAACTTGTAAGTGTCTCTTATATATAGGAACATGCCATAAGCATCAAATGTCTCTTATAATAAGGAACGGAGGGAGTAATTTCTTTCTGACAACTCAATTTTTAAACTCTGATTCAATGCAATTCATTCCTTTTGATTTTCAGTCAGTTAAAACTCACTTCCTAAACTTCAACACATTACAAATGAATCCCTCTAATTTTAACTATTTAAAAAAAAGTCATTATGGAATATATAATGTATTTCTTAAAATATAAAGACTAACATTTCAAATGTCTTAAATTACAAGAATTAAATTTTATCAAGTCAAAGGTTAAAACTAAGTTACAGTTGAATTAAAACTATAAAAATTAAATTGCATTAAATTAAAGCTCAAGGACTGGATAGAATCCATGTCAAAAGTACAGAGACAAAAATATTGATGCATTGAAATATTTGAACCATTCATCCGTGTTATGTGCTATTACTCTTGGTAAAGAATTTTTTAAAATTATAACCTATGTGTTTCTTTTTCTTTTTCTGGACATTATTAAAATTATATTAGTACGTATTTTCCATTTGGATAATATTAACATAGAAAAACATGTGCACACGATAAATGATTCCGGCAATAAAATATAATAATATATTTCTTCATAAATCATTTGGTTGAATTTTATGGCATTGTGGCCCGAGATGATCAGATTTTCTCTTTCAAATATGAGAATCTTTGAAAAATATGAAGAAACGGGCAGCAAAGTCTGAGTATAATAATGCAATATGCAGAGACCCATCTTAAATAATTTCAATGCAAATTATTTAAGAGTTTTTTTTTTTTAATTTTAGAAAAGTCAGTACATATTTTTTTTACAAATAATTAATTTAATTATTTTTTTTGATCTATTTGAATTAGTTAAGTAAATCTTCTTGAAATCTTCTTCAAACGTGAAGAAAAATATCCTTAATCTAGAATAGACTCCAATCTCTTATTTTTAGTTTTATGAAGGGAAAAAAGCACTAACGGTGTGGGTGAAGGGGATGCATTTGAGTGGAAGTTTTATAATAAGAGGAGTTTACTTAGTTAGAAAATTTCATAGTAAGTAATTAGTGAGGGATATTGGGTGGAAAAAATTATTATAAAACATACCAAATATTTTAATAATAAAAATGAAAGGGAGTAAATGTTTTATAGAAAGGCAGGCAATAATTAATATATTTTGTATTTGAATAGACAAGCAGAAATGACGGCTTCGTCAACACCAACTTGCGTCCAAAGTCTGTGTTAGGAGTTCCTTTGAGTGTTGGAGGCATCCTTTTTCAATAATTAACAATTCAACTTTGTCTACCTCCAATCGCTGTGCTTCTTTCCCCGTTTACGCTCTTTTTTTTATTTTGAGCTGCGGCACCATTTCAACTTTCACACCTTGATTTTTTTTTATAAAAAAAGTATGTATTTTATAAAATTAATTTCTTCAAAAATTTGTACGAGGATGCTATTTTCTTGGACAAAATAAAAAATTAATTTACTCAAAAAACCAAACAAAATTACATAATTAAAAAGAAGATAAGAGATTAATTTGGACAGGATTTAGATTTTCCCCACTATCTTTCCCATCCTCCTTCCCTCCACTACTCTCCTTTTCTTTTGTCAACCATTGTATCAAAACTCCAACAGTTCATATTTAATATTTTATAAAAAAAATTATTATAAAAATAGATAAATAAATATAAACTGTTAAAATTTGATCTGAATAGTTCATAGTTGTAGACTATTATTACGGAGCAATTTTT